AAAGCAGACCAATGTGACGGATTAGAGAGCCAAGGAAACAGACCCATGCGTGTGCAAGGACGGCTTTATGGCAAAAATGATATTTTGCAGTGGTGAGAAAAGTACTCTTCTTCAACAAGTAACACTGGGTCAATGGAATAACCATACGGAAAACCACAAGCTGACCTCTTCCTCATGTCATATATAGACAATTAATTCCAGTTGGATTACGGATCTTAATGTAATAGTTTCAAATAAAAAGAATTGAGAAGATAATGTACGAAAACATGGTCATTTCGAAACAGGCAAAGATTTCCTAAACCAGACCCCAGAATACAAAAAGCAAACCAAGCAGGGGCGAAAATTGGAATGATTTTGGATTAAGAATTTCTGCTTATCAAAAGATAACCCTTAAGAGAGTGAAAAAGTAACCCACAGAGTGTGTGTGCCAGCTGAAAGTGTCACATACCGCTGGTGGGAGTGTAAGTAGGAAACCTCAAAGAATCCGAAATGGTTGACATAACTCTTATTCTGGTCTTTTTTCAGTCACTCCCCTTTAACACCCTCTCAGGTGGGGTTATACTTTATGAAAACCAAGCTGAGTGTCTATTTAGAAAACAGACTAGAGAAGAAGGGAATTAAACACAGAATGACTGCAGGACTGTCAGGAAATAAAAAAGCAATATATGGACGTATGTTAACGTGCCTTAGTGTGGGTGGCAGTTCCTTCCCGATCACTGATTTCAGTGACGATTGTTGCTAAGGATTCTAATTTATTTATTTTTAAGGCTGGTGGCGACAGATGGTCCTAACAGCGTTCCGCATTGGCTGGCTGCCCTCTGGGTGTGGCATGGTCTGAGTTAGTGACACTCAGTGTGAGGAGTTTACTATAAATATGCTGAAACTATATCGTTTTGCTAGAGGATATTTCACTATACCTGAGACTAAGGTCTGATATTCAATCCCAGTTTTAGAATCTTGAACTGTATAAAGGAATCTCAGAAACCTTGAAACAAAAATTACTACAACCCAGATTATTTTCTGACCTGCGACTACCAGAACGCTGAAGTCCCAAACCCACCCATTCCTCCTGATGAGGGGAGAAGGGGTAACTCCTTTATTTGGCAGTTCCTGGGATCTGTGAGGAGAGGTGAGCACATGGGGGTTTGTGAACAGAAAGGAGGTGGCTGTGTCCCACTGTGACGAGGCTGCTGGTGCAGAGGTACATGGCCGAGTCCCCCGGCTCCACTCGCTGGATCTCCAGGGATGGAGGACGAGCCCTGAGGCCTCTTAGCAGAGAACCGAGCATCAGGCATCCCTGACGTGTCTACTGCATCTTTGTTCTGAAAATAAGTCAGAATCTCCAGGCCCTGCCCCAGCATCTGTCGGTACCAATAAAGGCGATTGTGATCAGAAACTGGATCACACCTGAGAGTGACATTCTGGCCCCTCCCTGTGACCCTGTGCCTGGGGGACTGGGAGACGCCAGCTTCTGTGTGACCTGTGGAGACAGAAGTTGAGAACAGTAAGGGTGAACATAATTGAAATAATCTCCCTCACAAACACACACACACACACACATACACAGGAGCTGTTGGTTTGCTGAGGACTCACCTGCCCCCAGGAGACAGAGGGTCGCCCAGCAGAGGAGCCTGGTGCCCATGGCAGGGTCAGAGCAGCGATGGGAGGTCCAGCAGCTCAGGGTCCTTGTGAGCAGGAGCAGAGGAGGAGGGGCGGACCGCGTCCTCATTGGCAGTTCCCATGGTGACGTCACTGAGCCTCAGGATTACCTGATAGTCATTAACTAATTAATTAAGTGTATCTAAGATGCCTGCCACCCTGAGATGCACCATTCTGTTATGTGCCATTAAGAAAAGAAAAAAAAGATTATTGTCCCTCACAATCAGAAACATTAAAAGGTGAAAAATTATGGCGCGTGGTATTAATGAAGAATGGTCACTCAGAAGTGGATTTAAATATGCACTGATTCTCTTAGGTTCCTTGCTGTCACCCCTCAGTGCCCCAGGCTTCTGTGGCCCGGATCCCACACTCCCAGCCTGGCCAAGCTTCTCGCCTCTCTCCTTCATTGCTCATCATTAGCTGGACATTTCCACCTGGCTGCTTCAACAGTGCTTCACATTTGAAGCAGAAAATGCTGACTTTGTTAGAGCAGGCAGATAGCTAGATATGAGCAGAGAAAGGGGGGCGTGGGCCAAATGGCAGGAAACCACACATCACATGAACAACAGGGGTCCTTGGACAGACAGAGAAAAGCAGAAACCTCATACTGATAAGAAATCACACATTTAGGAGTGACAGGTGTCTTAGAGGCCAACAAAGAAAGGTGGGAAAATGCAGGAATCTCCAGTATCTGAATGTAACCTTTTGCTCATTATGCCCTCATTACAATAAAATTAGCCTTGCAGGTTAGACGTGCCATCATGCACCGACGCATGACAGTTCTGATCCAGACTAAATAAGGACAAAAATCCTTCCTTCCCTTGTGAAGGTGGAGTTGGGATGGAAATCAAGGAATAGGACCCCAAATCCTTCCCTCCCCATGAATATTCTGCCCATTTATTTCTACACCCATTGTAACCAACTTGGCAAAGAAACTCAGCACAGACGCACACCTGAGCCTGCCCTCTCTCATAAATCCTCACTTGGCTTTCTTAACCTCTATGTCTTGTCTCAGAATTCTTTCTGTGATGAGGCAAGAACCTAGTCGCTGACAACAACCTGATCAACTTCCCCTGAGCTCTCCTATTTCTGCCCTCATCCCTGCATTCCTCTGGGCCTATGCGTGGTTTGGACAGGACCATTGTGGGTGGTAGATGGGGAGGAATCACAAGGCTTTGTCCTGAAGGCAGTCTGAACTCACAGTTGAGGGAAGGGATGGAGTGGTGCCAATGGCATGTACTGGTCTAAGTGGGAATCTTCTGCTAATTCTGGAGGTTAAAAAAAAAAATTCCTGTTATTAATTCACTGATCTCCACATAGCTTTTGTCCTCAGCTCCTGATCTCGGTGCCTCCTGTTTCTCAGTAACTTCTAAAATAAACAAATATCCCAAAAGCTTATCTTGAGGAGTCAGAACTGTTCTGCCCTTAATATTCTGGTGAGAGTTATACAATCAGAATGGGGTAGGGGGTTGAACTGATCCCTGGGATTCCTAACGGGCTGCATTAGGAGTAATTCAGTCCTCACTTTCTTTCCTAGCCTTTCAAAACCTAATTGGTGCCCCCCTTCCTAAAAGGAACGCTATCTCAACCACTTCCAAAGGAAGAGACAACTCCTCCAGCCTTATGACACAGGAAAATTGATCTATTTCCAACACCTGAGTGTCTTGTGGGGTGCTGAGTGATTCACCAGTGCGCCCCATTAAACAGTTAAACTGCGGCCCCCCAGCCTCACCACTTCTGTCACCAGCCGTCACGAGGAAAAGGAACAGGGCAGATGGTGACTTCACCTTGCAGAGAAATCGTCCCATCTTCCACCCCCTTTAAAAGCAAAACTGATCAGAACCAGCTTGGATTTTAGTTAATGTTTCACACGTGGGAAGCGGCCACTTAGTGGCCTCTCCCCGCCTCCTTCATTTTTACAATAGCTTCTCACAAAGGCTCCGCCCCTAGTTTATTCATATTCGTGTCTTTGCTGCATCTTGTGATTGAACTAATTGTGTCAAAGCTCAGCTCTTCCGGGGCCGGGCCACTGACCAGCCCCCTCTAGCACCTCTCCCCGGCCAGTATCATGATGCTTTTAGCTCCAGTGGTGAAGTAAATCCTGATTAGTTCTAGAACTCCCCTTCCTCACAGTGACCCTGTGGCTCCCGAGTCCTCCCACACAGATGCAAACAGTTGACATTTATAACCTGGGTCCAGCATTTATCAGCTCTGAGGCCACACACGAGGCCATTAGCCTACCTGTCTACCCCCGTCATGCAGTATGAAGCAGCTAACGGAAGCAAGTTAGCTTGTCTACCAACCTGAAAAAACGAGATCCAAAGTGTACTAAGAAAAAAAAGCATGCAAGTGGCAGTTAATGTGTCAGGTGGCCCCATTTTTGTAGGTGTCTCTGGGTAAATAGGTTTGCATGAGCACAGAGAAGAAAGTAAGAAACACACCACTGAAGGTGGGTTTGGAGGGGCTATCTTTGGAGCGGTTAAATGTATTAACATCTAATGTTTTCTTTATACATTGTTGATGCTTTTTTATTGTTGTAAAACATACCTTATCACTATTTACAGTAGCCAAGGCACAGAAGCAACCCAAGTTCCCATCAATAGACGACTGGATTAAGAAGATGTGGCATATATACAATGGAATATTATTCAGCTGAGAAAAAGAATGAAATACTGCCATATGCAGCAACATGGATGGACCTAGAGAATATTATGCTAAGTGAAATAAGTCAAACAGAGAAGGACAAATATTATACATCACTTATATGTGGAATCTAAAATGAAAACAAATAAATGTGTGCATAAAATGGAAACACTCACAGACATAAAAACAAACTAATGGCTACTAAAGGGGAGAGGGAGGGAAGGAGGGACAAATTAGGGGGATGGGATTAGCAGGTACAAACTACTATACAGAAAATTGCTAAGCAATGAGGATTTACTGGGGAAAGAAAAAAACCAAGATTAACCACATGAGAGCTTTCAATTCAGACCCTTGATCAGGCTGCAGAATTTGTGGTGTCTAAGTGGGCGATGTCCAGAAAGACACTGACTATGGGACATGGTATAAATGCCCATTTAAAAAAATAAGCCAAGGGTGGAAGAGCACTGGTGCCCAGGGCACATGGGTGGCCCCTGACGCTGAGCTGGGCGAGCGGCGAGGGGGACAATGACTTCCATTTGTGCTGACTGTGGGTTAACTCGGCTTCTGCCTCCCCAAGAACGGGCACCCCTCATTCTAGAACGAGCTTTGACTAATGCCCGTATTTGAAAAGGAAGGTCGATGAGTGCCCCCTGGTGCCTGCATTTGCAAACTCAATCAAAATAAGTTACATTTTCACAGGCTCGAGAAATGCTCATCTTTTACTTCTAATTCAAGGAGCGGTATGATTGCAGTGTTGGTTGGGATGTTATTCCGGTGTTATCAACCAGGCACAGCTTTCTCAAGGGGGTGAAGAGGGGTGCTGTCCCCAGGGAACATGTTGTATCTCCAGTCTTTGAAAGAAGTAGTCTATTTTTGGTCTTTGCTGCCTCAGGAGATGAAACTGCTTTCGTCTTTAAAGCATTGATGTGAATCATTCAGGCAAAATGGAGGCTTTGGTCTATCCTTGGGCCAGATTATTTCCACCCAGAAAGACTCACACCATTCTTCAAGGGCTAATACGTGGCCTCTCTCTGTAAATGGAGCCTCTACTGCCACAAAGAGCCTTTCCGAAACGGCAGAGGAAGGAGAGCTGGGAAGGGCCCTGCCCAGCATCCTGCACTGCAGTCAGGGTGTGGGCTGGAGGAAGTGGGGGCTCGGGGATGAGTGACCCTCAGCCCTGTGTCTCGGCATTGCCCAGAGACCCATGGAAGGGGACATTCCTGATACAGTTCAGTGTAACAGGCCTCACGGCCTCTCATTTGTCCAAGGGGTAGCTGTGCCTTGGGAAGACCCTCCCTCACATGGTAGAGGTGCCATTTTTGTTTCCTTCTCCACCAACTCTGGGTGCTAGTTTTTGACATTCTGTTTCTGATCATTTTACCAGTGATTAGGTGTCCTGTGTTTGGGCGACTCTAAAATCCATAGGGCCTTTTGAGGGAAGGAGACTGAAGGGACAAGTCAAGGAAGCTGATGGGAAGACATCAAACTACAGAAAGCCTTGGGACCCAGCTAGACAAGAATACAATACAGATTTCGCATCAGTTACCAGGACTCACCTGATTCTAGGAGACAAAGCGATGGAGGTTCCCAGCTGATGTGGCCAGAACTCTGTGACAGCCTAAGTGGGAACCTGATTGGTCTTCCATGATTCATTCCTCCCTGGAAGACTGTCCACTGGAGCCAAGAAATGCTGTTGTTATTGGAAATAACACAGAGAATCAAAACATCCACAGCCCCTACGATGTGAGGCTTCTGGTCTAGAGAGTGAGAGGGGTTTCTGTTAGTCACACAGATTCATGTAAAATGGCAATGGTGCTGAATGTTACTGAAGATTAGAAGCTATGAGCCCGTGTAACAAGGGGATTCGAGCTACTAATATCAAGAAGGGAAACTTACCTAAGGAGGTGGTGGTCAAGCTGAGGTCTGGAGCAAGGAGGACACAAGAGAAGAGACCTGTGTTGGCCCCAAGAACACAGCCTGGGAGGAGAAACACCTTCTTATAGGAGGAGCAGGACACACGTGAGGAATGGATTGAACTGACGCCAGGGTGTATGAAGCAGAGATGAAGGGTGGGGAAGGACGACCAGGAGTGGACATCAGATAGACAAGGGCTTAGGACTGAAATGAAAAGGGTGTGGGAGAGATGGACTCATAAAACGCTAGTGGGGAAAGGAATATGGACCCGTGGTTTCAAGGGTGTCTGTTTGCATCCAGTTTCAAATACATTTTCCTGTAAGCAGCTGGGTAGGAAGAATTCCTCTGAAAGTCCAGATCTGAGGATGCTCCAATGGCAGAGGTGGACAAGGGGGCCTTGGAGGAGAAGGCTGAGGCCCCTCACATCGCGATGCTGGCTCAGCTGAGACTGGTCTGGGAGGATTCCCCGCACAAGGCGGACTTTCTTAAGGTCAGGGCCTCTGAGGGTCCCCTGCTGGGGAATCCGGGGACAGTCTCCCACGGGACAGTGTCCTCCCCTGAGGGGGTCGGGGCCTCGTGAAGACAAGCCCAGCCCAGCCTTCTGTTGACCTGTCTGTGCAGAGCAAGCTGGCTGTGGGGTGACTGTTGGGACAAGAGGACAAAGGGGTCAGGGAGACACTGTCAGACGCTAGGATGACACTTCTGGCTGTGGCAGAAAGTCACAGGCCCATCGGGGATTCCTCCTTTGTGCAGGCTGCCCTGTAAAGCCTGCGCCCCAATGTCGGGTCCTGTTGATACCTACACATACACATTTAGCCCAGGACGACAATCATGGACATCTCAGCGTCACTTTCTGTTGAATCCTTGTTATCTTGGGGCCCGGGGAGTTCCAGCATCTGTGACATCTGTGATCAAGGGAAGCCCAAACTGGAGATGATGCCGGAGAGGGACCCCCGATGACTTAGACGCGAGAAAAGGCTGAGATTAGGGCTTCCTCATGTGCACCATGTTCTTTTCCACCCTAGGGATCTTTCTCATAGGCTGTTCCTTGGGCACAGAGCGTACATCCATTCCCAGACCTCTACTTCATTCCTAATGTGAAAATATATTTCAGGTATATTTATTCTCACTCGTGAAACATAAAACTTACATTTTACTAGAATAAATTAAGGAAAGTACTTCCAGGCATTTATCTGAGAGAGAATTTGTTGAGACAAAGAAAACTATAATTTCGGTTGCATTAAATTATGGCCATCAAAACGCAGCATAAAAAAATGGAAACGTAGGCTACAGACTGAGAAGACACAAGGCCTGGGTATACGAGTGATGAATCAGTGTGAGATTACGTGGTCCTCAGAGTTGCCCAGGAGGAGGCCACGGTTAACAATCACGATGATGTGGGAGGTTCCCGGTGCTCTCCAGGGGGACACACGCAGATGTGGCTGGGCCTCGATTCTTAGGGACCAGGACACAGGGACTAAAGAGGGAGCAGCTGGGCCCATGGAGGAAGTATGGACTTTAAACAGAGAAGCTGACTTCCCAGTTCTTCTAAACCATGAGACACTGGGGAAGTGATTTAACCTCCCTGAGCTCTTTTATCTGTAAGGTCAGTATAAGGATATTTGATTTGCATAAATGTCTAAATCGTATAATACATGCAAAGAATCCAGCCCACGTTGAGGGCATAGTTGTTCCCCAGGACGTGGCTGATGCTGGGAGAGAGGTGGAAACGTTCAGTGCACACGTGTGCTCTGAGCTCAGCAGGCCGAGAAAGTGTCTTTGAAATGACTAAAAACATCCCCTGAATGAGGGAAACCTGGGTGGTGCCCGCACCCTCTCTCACTGCTCAAGCCGAGGCAGGGAGGTTTGTGCACAGCACACTCGTGACCCGGCAGGGCTGTGCCAGGCTGCTGGCGCAGAGATACAGGGCTGAGTCCGACAGCTGCAAGGAGCTCACGTTCAGCTCAGAGCGAGAGTCACTGAACTGTTGTGCTAAGAATCGATCCGGGAAGTTTCCTTTGGCTGTTTGCCTCCTTTCATAAAACTCAAAGAGCAGCTGAGGGCCCTGACTCCAGGCCTGTTGGTACCAAGATATACCGAGGTGCCCAGAGATAGGGGAACATCTCAGGGTCACCGTCTGTCCTGTGGTTTTGATCAGGTGTCTTGGAGTTTGGGTGACTCCAGCCTCCAAGGGGCCTGTGGGAAACACAGATATAAAAGGAGTGTGATGTTTATCCCCCAGATGAGATGGAGGATTCAGGAGTCAGCAAACTCAGCAGAGCGATAATCTCTTTGTCCACGGGACTCACCTGCTCCCAGGAGACAAAGCATCGCCCAGGGAAGGAGTGTGGGGCCCATGGTGAGCTGCTGGTGGGGCCGGTGGGCAGCTCTGTGTCTCCTGCGCTCGGGTTCTGGTCCTCCTGGATGACAGCTGAGTGCTGGCTCCGCTCCTCCTGATTGGAGAGTTCTCCTGCGATGGCCGCTCCCACTTGTCCTCACCCTGCAGGCTTCCTGAGGTCCGGGGCTCTGTGCTGCCCACAAGCCAGACTCCTCTCCCTGTTCTGCAGAGCAGGAGGCCGGCATCAGGCAAAATCTGTCCCCATACAACTGTGCTGATGATTCTCTGAGGCAGGTGCTCCTCTGCTGCCCCCACCCCCGCTCACCCCCGCTCACCCCCAGCAAACAGGGAGCCCTGTCTCACCTTCCTCACCCCACCTTCCACTTCAGTGCCTCGTGCTGGAGCTCACCCACCAGCGCATCTGCTGAGGGGGAGGGTCTGTGGGTAAATTGCCCGTTCCCACTCTGCTTGCATGTCCTCCAGTCATCTCTCTGATGCTGGGGTCAAACTAAGCTTTGTCTCTGTATTTTCTTTTCCCGGGCAGCGTTCCTAGCCCCTGCTCTGAGTGGCCAGTGGTGCAGAGTCACCAAATTTGGTCCATCTGATCAGGTCCCGGGGGTGCCTGGATTGTCTGCGGATGCCTTTATTGGTTTACAGCACAGACCCAGCCAGCTTGGGGTTTACTGTCCGCAAGCCCATCTTCAGTGCAATGGTCTGGAGAGTTTATGTTTACCCCTCCAGGCTCACCCTGCCCTGAAAGGCTGACCTTTGTGGATTATATTAACTGGGCTGCCTCTAATGGCAGGAGACTGAAGGGAAGCAGGGTCGCCAGCTGTCCCAGTTTATAACATCTATCCCTCGGCTTCCTTCTCCCCGCCTCATCTCTTCGTAGCTACTTTTCCTTACCAATGGCCGCAGCACCTGGCAGGCAGCGTGCTCCCTAAGCTGCAGCGCCCAACTGCCCGGGGAGCCACCCTCTCTGCTCCTTTCAACCAGTCCGGATGAGAACCACCCACCTATGCTGGCCCTCGGACGCTTCTCCTTCCCTTACTGGTTTCCCTAACCCCTGCCTCACCTGTGTAAACAGTCTCTTCATTGTCCCTCCCCAGCCCTGCCAGGACTCTGCTGAGTAGGTACGGCAAGGGAAAAATGAGCTTGGAGAGTGTATTTTGCCTTTTAAAAAAGTAACAAAGATTCTAACATTCTGCAATGAGCAGTAACAGAAGTTCTAATGTTCTGCAATTAGAAGTAAAATTTCTAACATTCTGCAATTAGCACTGCTGAGACAGTCAGCTGAAGCTAAGAGAAACATGCAATGTGAAAATAAATGGTGTGAGCTGGGGACGTAGAATCCGAAGAGGACCCAGGGAAGTATGACTCCACTCCTCACCTACTCCTGCCCACGGAGCTCGACAGCAGGGGGCTTTACTCACAGCCGCAGTGGAGACCGCTCCATGCAGACCCTTCCTCGGGACCCTCCCTCTGGTCCCCCAGCAGTCGTGCCCCTCAGAGGATCACCTGCCGCCACAGGGATCACCTTTGATTTAAGAGGCAAGAAGGGAAGAAGCAGCTGAACTTTACAGAGAGTAGGAAAAGTTTTAAATGTTTGAAATAGTGTTTTGGAGAGTGAGAGAGTGAGCTAACTGGAGTCTCAGAGCAGGAGGTAAAGGCAGGTAAAGTGGCCTGATTTATCACGCTAGATGCCGGTTTGTACAGGTGTGACTTATTCTGACCGCACGCAGCTGCTGCCGTGGAAAAGACCAGTGCACTCACTTTGGTTTGGGTTTCTGTAATGTGAGGGCATCTCAGGAAGGTCATGGTAAGAGAATGGCGACAATCTGCAGGACAGGATTAAAAGAACGTGACATCATTGAATCTTCTGTAGCACAAGGTGGTGAAAATATGGAAGGACCCTACGGGAAAGGAAGAAAGAAAGGTTCCCAATGGATGGGAAAGAACAAAGAACAGGTGTGGGAGGACAGGAAGCTTGGGGCAGAGAGTGAGGTGATGAACTCGGGATTTTGGAAGTGGGACATTTCCAGCTGATGGCAAAGAACACGGAATGACGCTATTAAAGTGGAATAAGAATTAAAAAGAGATGACTCATACCTTTGGGGTAGGAAACAGGATGCAAAGGACACTAAATGTAAAAGAAAAAATGATAAATTAGACTTTATAAAAAGTTTAAATCTTCAATTCACCAAAAGGCAACACTAAAAAAGTGAAAAGGCAAGCCATTCTGGGAGAAGACAGACTCGGTGTATTTAATGGTCGAAAGACTCTTATTCCCAACAAATCCATCATAGACAACCTGATTTTTTTTTAAAAAATGGACAAATTTGAAAGCAGGCCCCTTATAAAAGAAGACAGGAAGATGCTGGAAAAGTAAATCTCATGACTCATCAGAGAAGTATAACTGAGACACTGCCACAAACCCAACAGAAGGGCTGACAATTAAAAGGAGGAGAAAACCAAATGTTGGTGAGAACTGGGCCAGGGGGACTCTCTCCCCTTGCTGTGGCAAATTGGGACAGCCACTTTGGAGAGCTGTTTGGCTGCTTCTAATAAAGTCAGACATGCCCCTACCCTACGAATCAGTAATTCCACTCTTAGGTCTACACCTAAGAGAAATGCATTTACCCGCAAAGACGTGTACAAGAATATTCAGAACGGCTCTATTCATTAGAGTTGAAGGCTGGAACAACCCAGTCATCCAGCAATAGGGGAATGGCTAAACCAAGGGTTATATAGAAGGGAATTCTACTCAGAAATATAAAAAATAAACTGCTATATACACAACAACATGAGCATATCTCAAAAATAATTTTTGAAAAAAAGTTGAAACCAAGTATTTCCTATGTGTTTCCACTTACATGCAGTTTAAGAATAGACAAAGCTCTAGTGATAAAAATCAGAAAAGTGGATAGCTCTGGGGAATAAATGGGGAAGATGCATGAGGACACTTTCTTGGGTGATGGAAATGTCCTTTTATCTTAATTTCTGTCATGGCTGCATTGATGTACGCATTTGTCAAAATTTACCAAGCAGTCCATGTATGGAGCATTTTTCTCTCTGTTAATTACACCTTAATAAAGGATTCCTAAATACAAACAAATTACATAAAAGATGGGAGTCATATTCAACTTTATTGCTTGTATTCCATGTAGTCCACTTTAGAAATGAGTCACACACAAATTAGAGAAGACAAGAAGGGTCACATGCATGAAGTATCGAGAACGCGAGAAGTTCTCAGGGACTGAAATATACAACGTCCAAATTTGGCCTCAGAATAAGCTGGACTGACAAGTCTGCCCGGAAATAGCTGACGATCACTGGCTGAAGGAAAGCTGCAGCCAAGCAAAAACTTCCGGAAAAAAAAAAATCCCCAAAGGCTGTTGAAATCATTATTCCATGCATCTTGAACTGCTGTAAATACCACAATTTGGGAAATTGGTCATTCATCGGTTTCACCGCTTAGTCTTTCATTTAGACTTTGAGCAGATTGGCCAATTAGTGAATTGAATTTTTGCCCAGCAAGCAGCCTGCTCCCTTCTCTGCGATTGGGTCCTGGGGCCACCAGTGCTGCCCGACAGGGCGTACATGGACACAGCGGGTCAAGGGGTGAGCAGCACCCAGGGTTTGCCCTTCCTGTGCAGCCCAGTTGTGGACCCCAGTCTTGGAGTTTAGGATCCCACATGAAGAAGCCTTGCTCTTGAGAGCGTGGACGTCTATCAGTAAGGAGCCAAGGAGGGCTGAGTTGCGGGAGAATCAAATTGTTGCCCAATGTTGCTTTGTAATATTTTACAAGAAAAAAATGGAAGAGCTCATAGATTTTAATCCAAGCCAAAAGTATGATAAAAACTAGGTTATTTTCTAAATTTACAAATTATATAAAAGATGGGAGTCATATACAATTTTATGCTTGTATTCCATATAGTTCAACTTAGAAATGAACCACACACAAATACGAGAAGACAGAACAGTCACACACATAAATACTGGGAATGTGAGAAGTTCTCAGTGACTTTAGAGACCCCACAGCCTCAGAAGACGCACAACACTGCTGTATGCCCACAGGGAAGACTTAGTTTGTCATCTTTTTCGGGGACAATTCTACAGTTGATCATCTTGAGGTCTAATGTTGCTGTTTGATGCATCTATGAGCATTTCCCCTAAGTGTTTACTTGTGTCTTTTATAACTTGTTAATGAGATTTTTGTTTTTTTCTTCCAGATAATTCTTGCTTGGTATTTCAGAGCCCCAGGCAACTTAATATAACAGTTTCAGATCTGGAGAGTCCCAGATCACTCCGGGAGGTTAAAGCTGCTTGGCTGGTTTCTGCTTAGTTCTTCTGTACTGAAAAGAATGTGAAATATAAATTTCATATTGGACACTGCTGTTCCTCTGGTTTACTCAATTGCCAGAGTATTCTGAATTGGGTGACAACATTAAGTGAGATTTGCACTTAAACGCACACACACACGCATAACTCACTGTGATGCACCTGAGTTCACACTAAGGCTCACATGCTCCAGCCCCCTCAGACTGAGATCCCAGGGCTGGGGAGCCTGGTGAGAGCTTCAGCGTGGGCAGGTTTTCTCCCCTGGTGAGACGTGGCTGCAAGAAGAAGTGCCCACCTCACGCTGGCCCTGAGCTTCCTGTGCAGATTGCAACTGGCTGTGCCACGCTGTGGACACGCTGCTGGCACAGAGGTACAAGGATGTCTGGTTGGTGCTGGCAGACTCCAGGGTCAGGGGGAAATGCGCCTTCTCAGGTCGGGAGGCTCGGTACCCCTCCGTGACCTCCCCTTCGGCAGTGCTGCCGATGTCATTTGAGTAATGAATCAGCCTTGGCCCCTGTCCTGGGTCTTGCCGATACCAGAACATTCCAAAATGGTTCATATGCTGAGAACATTCCAGGACCGTCTTGTGCCCTGTTGGTACAATACAGTATCTTGGCATCTGGGTGATTTCCTCGTCCGTGGGGCCTGTTGGAGAGGCAGACAGACGGTAGAGACCAGGTTTAAGAGGAAGCTGGATCTGCAAAGGAGAGGGAAGGGCTTGGAGCTGGGACTTAGCAAAGTGAAGGCAGACGTTTCAGCTGCACCTGGAACTCACCTGCCCCCAGGAGACAAAGAATAACACAAAAGAGGCTGGGGCTCATGGCCAGTCGGAGAGAAAAGGGCAGTCCCAGCTAAATGTTCTGAGAGAGGGAGCTCCGGGCTCTTCTCCAGGGGTGGGATGGGTCTGCCTGGGGTGTCACTGACTGCACCCAGGCCGATTCTCCTGGCCCAGGGTCCCCTGTGACTTGGCTCAGGTGAGGTCAGCTTCTCCTTGGCGTGGCCTGCAGGGGAACTGGGGTGTGGCTGTGATGCACTGAGTTTTGGGCACACTCCACCCCCTTGGTCTCCCACATTCCTCTGGGACCCTTGCTCCTCTGCACCCGCCCCAGGCATCACGGGTGCCTTGCCCAAATCCAACTGTGGATCTCGTTAAAGTTTAGAGGGACCTCCCACTTCTCCCATAGCTGTAAATAGCTTAGCAATAACTGAAAACATCTTCAAAGGCTGCCTGGTATTGAATCCACACCTGTTTTTCTTTAACCCTTTTCTCCCCAGCTGCTCTCCCAGACTCTCCCCAGAGCCCCCTTAGAGCTCAGCGGCACCACAGTGCCACCTTATGGCCAATGACTGACATTTCACCATTGTTCCTTCTACAATGGCCCAAGGGGTGCTGGGAAGTGTCTGCAAGATCATTTTTTTCCTCAACGTCCTTCAGCCCTAACCCCAACACTAATTTGAACAAACCCTAACTCTATTCCTCTTACTCACCATGCTTAACAGCTCGCCTTCATTCTACTTAACTACTGTCACATTATCTGGCAGCTATAGTCCAATTGAGATCTTCTCCCTTAAAGCTGTCTTCTAGAAAGGGATAGAGAGAATGGGAGAAATGAGAGGAAATAATATTGAGTCTAAAAATGGGAAGAAAAACACAGACGTTGAAGTGTAAGGACGTTCTCTTCATTACTAAAGATAAACAAAGATGCAAAAAAAAAAAAAGACAATATTAACTCCGAAATATAGACCAGCAAAGGACTGGGGAGACAATGAGGGAAGACAACTTCAAGACGGGCTCAAATGTGAATGACTAAAAAGTGACATTGGAAAGTAAGAAAAATAAGAACCTCTTATAAGGCAATAGCCATGGCGGAGGAAAGAGTGTCTGATGGGGAAATAGGGAAGAATGGAATTAAGATCAGCAAGGGACAGTCTCCACTAAATAAGTAACCTGGACAATGTGCACCTATGATTTGAGCAGCAGAGAGAGAAGAGATGATTCTGGAAGAAGCAGAGGGGTTGTGAGATGTATGCAAACACTGGTGCACAAAGGTATGATAAGGAAGCTGCATCTGCCAGGCTCCTGTGGCAAAAAACTGGAGACAAAGTCTGGAAAGGGAGTCCCTGGAATGGGACTTCAAGGAACTGCCCTGTGTGCCCAGCCTTCCTCAGTCCCGGAGACACAAGGCAACAGAGCAAGGAGAGCTTTGCTGATGCCACAATTAAAATAAGACGAGGAAGACTCCCTTCCAAGGCCATGCACTCTCTGGGGAAAGACATTTGGTGTCCCGAGCCACCACAATTTCTGATACGTGGGTTTGGGGTGACTGTCACTCCCCTTATCTGCAAGGCTCAGGGCATCTCTATCACTGCCGAGTCTGTGGCATTCATCCCAGTCTCCAAGCTGGGTTACCCCTTAGTTCTCCCAGAAACCATGACCCATGGTCTTATCCGCTCTGACCAGGACTTCAGATTTCATAGATTCAAACTGCGGCTTCACCCAGATGGGTGGAAGATGTTATCTACAATACAGGGATTATATTTAAAACATATACATCATATAGCAAATAAATAAAAGGAAATAGGGGCATCGAGAAACATCCTGCTTGGGGTAAAGATCTCAGGAAATTATTTCAAATCAGAAGGCTAGGGCACCAAATAAAATAGTAAAAATCAGATTTACTCAGGGAATCAAGAGGAAACGGGAGAAGTCGTGAAAGTATGCGTTAGTCTAGCTGTCAGGGCTGGAGCAGTGAAAACAGGGAAACGAAACAGAGGAAGCGGGTCACTTCAACGAGGCAAAGGTTATTATTTTCCACACTGTGTTCGCCAATTAGCCGGCACGAAAGTAGTAAAGGCTTATTTCAGACAGGAAGACAGTCCTGACGCCGTGCTGTGGAAAACGTCCAGTGGCACAGGGATAGAAGACGCTTTAGAAGCAAGAAGATGCCTGAGGAGGTAGTCCAGAACTTTCTCGATGCCGACCACAGACACAGAGGAGGTGCTGCTCGCTGCACCCAGCCAAAGCCGCGTCGCGGGCGGAGACCTGGGAGTCCTGTAGGAGACGGCCGCGTCCGGGACATTTGGTCCTTGCCTTGGAGCTCTGAGCTGGCGCTGGGGCTCCTAGAACCCAACGAGCCATTGTTTCCATCCACCGACATTCACGGCCACAGTGTTTCAGGAGTTCTCTGTGGTCTCTTTCTACCCAAGGACAGCTGATGTCCAAAACTCCTTCGTTCTGCCACAGAATGAAGAGCAAAGGACAGCCTATTTGGGTATCTCTCTAGGAGCTGCAAGGAGAGAGGGGTGAGGTTTGTGAACAGGAAGGAGGTGGCTGTGTCCCACTGTGACGAGGCTGCTGGCGCAGAGGTACACAGCCGAGTCCCCTGGCTCCACTCGCTGGATCTCCAGGGTGGAGGACGAGCCCTGAGGCCTCTTAGCAGAGAACCGAGCATCAGGCATCCCTGACGTGTCTACTGCATCTTTGTTCTGAAAATAAGTCAGAATCTCCAGGCCCTGCCCCAGCGTCTGTTGGTACCAAAAAAGACCGTTGTGACCAGAAATCGGATCACAACTGAGAGTGACATTCTGGCCCCTCCCTGTGACCCTGTGCCTGGGGGACTGGGAGACGCCAGCTTCTGTGTGACCTGTGGAGACAGAAGTTGGGAAAAGTAAGGACAAACAAAATTGGGATCATCTCTCTCTCTCTCTCTCTCTCACACACACACACACACACACACACACACACACACACACAGGAGCTGTTAGTTTGCTGAGGACTCACCTGCCCCCAGGAGACAGAGGGTCACCCAGCAGAGGAGCCTGGTGCCCATGGCAGGGTCAGGGCAGCGATGGGAGGTCCAGCAGCTCAGGGTCCTGGTGAGCATGAGCAGAGGAGGAGGGGCGGACCGCGTCCCCACTGGCAGTTCCTACGGTGACATCACTGCCTCTATTCATCCCCATGAGTTCAGGGACACATAGTTTACATCATAACATCCTTGGCTGACTAATTTAAATATTTGTAAGCTCCCTTTTGCCACACTCAGTGTGCGGGCTCCAGCGCTGTCTGCCTGCAGGGTTCTCACGCTGCGTGCCTCCAGGAGTGTCCTCATCCACCCAGCACTGCTCGCCTGCTGGGCATTTGCACTGAGAAGGTCAACAGCACCTCCAACGCAAGACACCAGAATGGGAATTCATTGTCTCACCTGCAAGGCAAGATCTCCCGAGCGCATCCCCCTTCTGTCCCAGTCCCCTGCACTGCCCCCCACTCACACATACTCAACAGTATCCATTTCTTAGGCAGGGGTGGGCATTGGAGGGTGGACTCAGTTTTGCTTTAGAGCCTCGTCAATACGCTGATACAGTCAGAGACACAAGCGATGAAATGATGCCCTGGGAAAATACCTCGCTTGGGAGCTTCTATTCCTCCTGCAGGTCAGAGACCAGTTGCCCTGTGTTCATCCATCTCCAGGCAGTATTGTGTCTCCGTAGCCCAGAGTACAGCTTCGGGTCCTTCTAAGTCATCATGCAGTAAACAAGTTTCCTTATAGCTTATTTATAGAAGAGTCAAGTTCATTGCCGTTTAAGGCAGTGGTGTCTGATGTACAATAATAAATTTAACTGTCTTCCTGGAAACCTAAGAGGCTGTGTTATAGGTAATTTAATACTGCTGTCAGAACATCTAACTGCTCTACAGCCATTAATGTCTGGCCAGTTTTTTATTAATTGGTTAACAGTGGGTACAAACATCCTCCCCTTCAGAGAAAAAAGTGGGAGCAGGATCAGCGATGCCTGAGTGGTTGGGAGCGAGGCTGCAGGGTCGGGCAGAGGATGTTTTGTAGCTCTGTGTCTTCCCTGAACTGGATCCCAGAAGTCCTCTACAGATGAGATTATATCCTACTGTCTCCACCAGTCTGCTAACACGGACCAGGTGTCCGGGTGCCCATGCAACCCCAGCATCACGGGACCTCAGGAAGGAGACGGAAGCAGGAGACAGAGCCCCACCTCTGAGTGGAGGGAGTGTGTATCCACAGTCACCAGAGTTAAGTCCGTACTCGGGGTTTGGAAATCTAGAACAGAGACATCCCAACTGTGTTCACGGTTCACGCGGGAAACAGGCGTACCCAGGAGTGTCTGACCACCCAGTGGGACCTTGAATGGAAACACGAGTAGGAGTTAATCACTGCAACAGGAAGGGTCCATGTTCAGCGCAGAGGGAAGAGCCTTTGGTTTCTCTGAGACGGGAAGGGTTGTGACACAGACAGGGGACGAGCAGGGTGGCTGGAGGAGGGCCCAGGGAGGCGGGGAGAGGAAAGACCTGCCTACCTGCGAAAGGCAGGCGAGAGTGGAGACCACGTGAGGGCCTGGCTGGGGGAGACCCCTGGGGACAGACAGCAATGAGGTGCCCAGGGAGAGACGAGGGGGTCTGAATGTATCTGGTTTACCAGTAACTTTCCCTCCCGGAGGTATCAGCCTCAGGCTGATGACCTCCCAGCTCACAGGGCTGCTGCAGAGGGAAGACAGAGAGCACGGTGGAGTCCTGCCCTACCCTGGGGCCAGTTTGGGCTGGCCAAGATTGCACACTCAGGGTCACGCTGCTCGCGTGTGGTCCCCAGGGTTCCAAGGCTCCCGATGGGGGAGAAGCCTGCCAAGGGCTCCACTGAGTCCACGGGGTGCAGGGTCTCCCTTGCCTTTTTGTGCAGAGAGAAGGTGGCTGTGCAGCGCTGTGGAGTAACTGCTGGCACACAGGTACACAGATGTCTGGCTGGGGGTGGCGGACTCCAGCGTGAGAATGAAGTTCTCTACGTCTGATCTGGAGACACTGTACCCGTCCGGGATGTCTCCTTTGTCAGTGGTCCCACTGCCAGCTGAGTAATGAATCAGCCTCAGCCCGTGTCCCGGGTCTTGTCGGTACCAGTACATGTAGTCGTGTTTCAGATCCTGGGGACATTTCAGTGTCACACCCTGTCCTATCTTCAGGACCTGGAATTTTGGGGTCTGAATGACACCCGCATTTACCGGACCTGCAGAGGAGGTGACGTTGAAGCTGTGGCCACAGCAGAAAGGTTTAGTGCTGGGACCCCAAAAGGGACCCTTCCCGGGACTCACCTGCCTGCAGGAGACAAAAGGCCACACAGCACAGGAGGCAGGTGCACATGGCAGGGCCAGGGCAGGCGGAGGGGTCTTCTGGGTCTGGGTGCTGGTGAGAGGGGAGCGGGGCTCCCCAGGGAGTCATTCTGAGATGTCACTCTCCCTGCCGGGGCCCCAGGGCCAGCCTGCCACAGGGGGCCACGCCCCTTCCCCCAGAGGCTCAAATCAGAAATGAATGTACGTGCAGTTATTATTCTGTATAAAACAGATAAATAACCAGGTCCTACCAGACAGCACAGGGAACTATACTCAATACCTTATAATAGCCTATAATAAAAAAGAATATGAAAAGGAATGTTTTTATATGTGTAACTGCATCACTCTGCTGAACACCAGAAACTAACACAACACTGTAAATCAATTACACTTCAATTTTAAAAAATGAATGTACAGTGGAATGAACAGCTTAGAATGGGAGGAACACCTTCGTCTGAATGCTGTCTTATATGCTGTTTTACCCCTTTCGTAAAACAGTTTGTGATTCTATGTATATTTTACTCCAGAGACAACTCTTCATTAGTATGTCTGTCAGTTGTATTTATCGACATATTTCTAGTTTTGAATCAAAATCTTTATGGCTTCCCACTGCCCGTTAGGACCCACACATCCCATATTCTCCAAGTTTTTGTTTCTATTTTGTCCAATTTGACCACAATCCACCTGCAAAGAATCTGGTATCTGGTTCTCCAACCTCAGGGGCCAGCTCATCAACATCTGAAGAATCGTTTTCCTCTAATTTGTTATCAGTTCAACTGAAGACGGGGCACCTGGCAAAGTAGGGGGAGTTCCTGCATATTTTCTGGAGCCCTGGCTTCCGTGTCGGGGGTGGGGGCAGCAGTGGCCAGCACCACCTCACGCCTCGGACTCACCTTCTTTGCGGGGAGAAGACGGTTGCCCAGCACCACAGATGACATATTAACACGAAGGAGTGCAGATGTGGAGGGACTTGGGGAGCGGCAGCGGACGCCAGGGTAAGTGAAAAGTGCTCTGTTTTTATTTGAGGCATCCATTCCCTGGGGAAAGCGTCCTGGTGAAGAGTGGCTGCCATTGACTGGTTAACAAATACAACAGAGCAGCCCCAGAACTCTACCTTGTCGCCCACAACCCACACTTAGAACGACCCCGTACTTGCCGCAAGGCTCTGCTGTGGGATCAAGTTCTCAATAATATGTGAACCATGGGCCCTGCAGGTGAGGTCGCCGAGTGCGTGATTTGGGACCTGTAATTACCTCCCCACGTGCTGGTTTCCCTTTAGCACAACCGCACGTCTGGGGTCTGCGTGACTCGACGTCCCTGGGGCCTGGAAGGGAAGGACATAGAAGCTAAAGTCAGAACCAAAGGAGGAGCCAGATGTTGTAACCATGACAATGAGCCTTGAACTGGGAACTGGCAAGCCCGTGAGGGATTCCATGTCCGTGCTGGGGACTTCTCTTGTCCAGGAAACTGAAGGACACACACCATGGGGGACTGAGGCCCAGGCAAGACTAGAACAGATAGGGGTGTTGGGTGGTTTCCAGCTCAAGGCTTGTGGCTTGGATAACTGGGGTCAAAGTAAAGGGAAACTTTCTGATCTCTCACCAGAGTCGCTACTGCCCGTGGTCTGCTCAGCCCCAGTACACAGCGTGGGAAGACGAAGCCCAGATATGTGTGTGTCTCATGGGATCTCAAAAGTAATTTCCTGGGAAATGATGACTTTTTGTCAAAATAGCATTATAAAACAGTTTCAGCGAATGGGTGCCTGAGAAAAGAAATTGATGAAAGTGACTAAATAAATCTTACAAAAACAACTACCAGCTGGCAAGACCTTTTGATGGCCACTTATCAGCCCATCCGTCTTCAGACAGAATTATCCCTGACGTGGATGTGCTGTCTCGCGAGGCTTCCAACACTCCTTTAGCAATAACAATTTCCAGGAGCACCTTATTCTCTTAAATATTTAGCTGTGGGCTAAAGAGGAATTGTTTTAATAGATGGAGGCTTTAAATTTCTGCTAAAAAGATGTCTGAGCAAAATGAATCTATAGCAACAGAAATCATATCGTTGGTTATCAGGGATGGAGAGAGACATTGCAAAGGGGCATGAAGGAAAAGTTCTGTATCTTAATGGGATGGCTGTTACATGGGTATATACATATATGTTGCTCAAAACCATTGATCTGTCAGTTACAGTGCGTAATGTTTATGGTCTATATGGTTGACTCTTGAACAACACTGGTTTGAGCTGTGCAGGTCCACTTATATGAGGATTTTTAAAATAAATACATACTATACTACTACACAATCCACAGTCAGTTGAATCTGCAGAATTGGGATGGCAGATATAGAGGTTAAATATGAAGTTATCCATGAATTTTTGAATGTAGGGTTGGGGGATGGCTCAACGCCCCTGACCTCTACATTGTTCAAGGGTTAGCTATATATAATTCACATGTCAATAAAGTTGCTTTAAAAATGCCTGAGAAGGGATGTATGTTACATGCTCTGGTTAATTTCATGTATCATCAGGCATAAATATTTTCATTTCTGTGACTTCAGAAACAGAAGTCCTCACCTACAGGGTTTCTAGGGAAGATGTGTCCATGTCTACCTTTACACCTAGGAAACGGTGCAGAGGCTGTCAGAGGTTAACAAAGGGAGTCAAGAAATCCAGATTCCTACTGCGTGCCAGGAACGCCAAGCTTACTAAATTTTTATACAACCCGGAAAATGGTGAGATGTCTAATTTAATGTGTCATCTTGACTGGGCCACAGGTATCTGGTTAAACGTTATCCTCTGTGTTCCTGGGAGGTGTTTTTGGAAGAGATGAACATTTAAATAGGTAGACTTTAACACTAGATCAGATTAACATTTTAATGAGTAAAGCAAATTGCCTTTCATGACGTAGGTGGGCCTCAACCAATCAGGTGAAGACATGAATAGACCTAAAAGACCGATTCTCCCTCAGGTTAGGGAGAATCTAGCTGATGGCCTTCAACCTGGAACATTGGCTCTTCCTGCTTAACAGCCTTTGAACTTAAACATCAGCTCTCCCTGGGTCTCCAGTACCATCAGCCCAGCTTGCAGATTTTGGATTTATTGGCATTAACAACTATGTGAGCCTGTTCCTTTAAAGCAAACATGTGTATGTGTATTTGTTCTATGGAGGGACACTGCTATGGTGGTGGAAGGGGACACAGGTGTTCAGGACGGACTTGGGTCTGAGACCCTGCTCTGACAGTTACGAAATAGGGCATCTGGGCGACTTACTTCTCCCAAATAAATAGGTGAAACAATACTTACCTTGCGCGATTTCTGTGAGCATTAAAGCATATCCTAAAGAATGTTTAGTAAAGGCTGTCTGCTTTACCAGGGCCTGAGCCCGGCTGGCGGGCAGCCAGCGCCTTCGCGGCCACTTCCTGAGCTGGGGCGGGATGTTTTTGTACAAGAGGCCATTGTTCACGCAGGGCTGTGTCACGGCTGCTGGCGCAGAGATACAGGGCCGAGTCCGTCAGCTCCAAGGAGCTCACATTCAGCTCAGAGCTAGAGTTATCGAACTGTTGACCTGAGAATCGACGTGAGATGTTTCCTCTGTCTCTCTCTTCCCCACTGTAATACTGAATGAGGAGCTGGGGGCCCTGGCCCAGGGCCTGTTGGTACCAGTACACGGAGAGGTGTCCAGAGACAGGGGAACATCTCAGTGTCACTTGCTGTTTTCTTGGTTTGATCAGGTATTTTGGGGTCTGAGTGACTTCAGAATCCACCTGGCCTGTGGGGGAGGAGACGGAGAGAAGCTGAGGGCAGAGCACAGGGGGACACCTCCTGTGGCCGCGGGCCTCAGAAGGCTTGTATTTCAGAGATGATAAAGGCATATCAGAAGCTTTCACACTGTGCCCAGGACTCACCTGCTCCCAGGAGGCAAAGAGCCACCCAGCAGAGGAGCCTGGAGCCCATGGCAGCATCGGGAACCCAGACAAGTCCTAGCTCGGGCAGGTCTCCTGGGCGAGTGATGGAAAGTTCTGAACCTCCTCTTTCCCTGATAGGAGCATGTGCCTATGACGTCACTGCTCTGACGTTACTCTGCAGGCTGCCTCCCAGTCCACTGGACCCCTTGGCAGGACCCAGGGCCACTTTTCTATGCCATTCCCTGTGCTACATAGCCCTTCAGCAAAGGGTGGGTGTGAGCATCGACCCCATGTCCCCATATGCCCACAACATACCTCGTTCTCCTCTGCCGGCCCCTGCCTGATGCTAATCACCCCACCATTGCTGCCCCAGCCCCTTCACCCTCCACTTCCTGTGCAGGCTCAGGGAGACCGCCTCCCAGGGGCACGCTGAGGTTCGAGGCACGTCCTCACTTCCCTGGGTAGCAAGGAGTCTGCCAGCTCCATGTGTCCTGGGACCCACTCAGTGAACTCTCACTGGCTTCCCCATGTAGGCATGAAGCCATGGTTCCCTCAAGCCGCCCTCTCCTGGGTCCCTCTCTCAGCCCCTCCCAGGGCACCCTGAGCTCTGTGGTCCCACAGTGCCTCCAAGTGGCCCATGGTCCTCAGTCTCGTGGATTTGCATCTTCTGTCTAAATCAAGAGTAAAAATTCACCACCTGCTGCCCCCTCCACCCAGCCACAGAGCCACAGAGCCACACAGACACACACACAACCTGTTCTACTGCCTTCCCAGCCTGGTTGACTCAGGGTTGATCTTCAAATACACTCTCTGCCTGTAGAAGCGAAAGATTGTAGGATGCAGCATTTCAGTCAAGAAGGAAATCACTGTAGCACCATTGCAATTAGGGTAATGTGCCAAGATGAAAGAGACAAGCCGGAATGATACGGACCATCAGAGTAAACACTGATGATCTCAAGCAGGTTCAGCCTGGAATCACGGTATTCCGTAACTCCTCCTGATTAATCAGGTCCACAGATTTCCAGATTCTATATATAAAGTAATTATTACCAGATTTTACACTGCATTTTATAAAGAGGGTTTATATATTTCACCTATTTACTTCTCAACTTATATAATCTTGAAATAAGCAGCCCTGGCAGCGATAGTTAAGGTAGCGCTAGCTGGTCTGGGTTCTCTAACATCACTCAGAAGTACCTATGAGTTCTCCTTGGTGAACCAGAGAGAAACCGTTCCCATGTTGTGTCTCTACACAAGAAAACACACATGCAGGCCTGCACACACACCACACACAGCCACTCACACACACACACACAATTATCCTTTGATTGGCAAGGTCAACGTTTTATTACCAAGCCCAGCAATTCTCCTTCATCAGTTTTGCAGGTTCATTTCTGAGAAGCATCCTTGATGATGGTAAGAGACAGCTCTAAAGGGGTGGGGGTGGCTGGTGAAGGAAACTTCTTTACAGGACTATGAGCCTGGATAAATATCACAGTAACATCATTTTCTCTGTTCCCAAAGAACCATAGCATGTTTCAACTCTAAATTCAATTCGGTTTCTTGATACAGTGGTTATCAATCCTGGCCGTGAAAACACAATTGCTCAGAATGCTGCAGCAGGTGGACAGAAACCAGGGCCAATCACAATGAGTATCCACTTCATTTCAGGTGAGAGGACATCCCTGAGAAGGAAAATGGTGATTAACGATATTTCCTGGCTCTATGTAAGTGGGAATTAATTTATTCACTTCGTAAGTGCCTAGGAGTATCAGTTATTTACTTATATTCTTGGCTTCTTCTATGAAAGTAAAGAGAGCAAGGCAACTGTAGACACCAGAGAGCTCTTTCTCTTTCCCCGTGAAAGCACAGAGAGGCCACGTGAGGACACAGGGAGAAGGCGGCCGTCTACACAGCAGGAGTAGAGTTCTCGCCAGACCGACACTAGCACCTAGATCTTGGGCTTCTAGGCTCTGGAACTGTGAGAAAACAAATGCTTGTTGTTCCAGCCACTCAGTCTGCAGTGTTTTGCAGCGGCAGCTGGAGCGGACTAACCAGTGGTATAGCTCCATGGGATGTCAGGATAAGAAGAAGAAGACACGTCTGAGCCGGTCCTTGAAAGGTGGACAGTACCTGATTATATCTGGGGAGGAGAGGGGGCCCCTAGGCCATGGACAGGGCAAGAGCAGATGCAGCGGGTTTAAAAGCCATCCGTGCTTCAGGGAGTTTTGCAAAGACACGTTCGGTCCCAGAGGAAGATGCATCCTGAGACGGCCAAGAAGTGATGCTCTGAAGGTAATGGAATCTGGGTGGGGAAGTGGTAAAAAGCCATTCCAGGGAAGCAGCATTGATTTTGGAAGCCTCTGTCTGTTTAGCATCAGGGGAGACACACCCTTCTCTGTGCCTGGGAGGCGCAGGACAGGGCCCTGAGGAGGCAGGATTAGGGTGAGAGTTCAAGAAAGAGAAAGTCAGAATCAGCTCCAGGTTTCTCACACCATCACCACATCAGCTGTGTGGTGATCGCACCTGAGACCTGCCTCCAGGTGATACCAGTTGTTAGATGGCCTTGCTTAATGTTTCCTGGTGACTGAAGACTTGGGAGGGAAGAGGAAAGAGATGGTGTTACAAACAGAGTTTAAAAAATAATCTTGTGGCTCTATATTCACAACAATGTTTAATCATATTCTCTGTCCTAGCCTGTCCCCAAAAATCTCAATTTCTTCTCCTTATATTATACAAAGCAAATCCCTGTGATTATCTTTAAAACGCCATATTTATCAGGGGATTTTGATGTCCAAATGAACTCTCTCCCCAAAAAGAGGCCTCCGAGCTATCACATTACAAGCTCTTCCTCTCCCCTGGGGGCAGGCAAGGCGGGTGGTGTTGGAGTGATGCTGCTGACGGAGTACCATCCTCGGAACAGATCTCTGTCCTCTGTTGTCCCTGCCCGCGTGGGCAGAAGAGTCCTGCCTTCCAGGGCCCCAAATCTTTTTTTCCCCCACTGTGGTCCCTAGGCTGTCTCAGATCTGTCAGCTTCCGGGACAGGGAGGTTTGTGCACAGAATGCCGATGACTCGGCAGGGCTGTGCCAAGCTGCTGGCGCAGAGATACAGGGCCGAGTCCGTCACCTCCAGGAAGTTCACGATCAGCTCAGAGCTATAGTTGTCGAACTGCTGACCTGAAAATCGATCTGGGAAGTTTCCTTTGGCTCTTTGCATTTTTCCATAAAACTCAAAGAGGAACTGAGGACCTTCACTCGGGGCCTGTTGGTACCAAGATACACTGGTGTGCCCAGAGATAGGGAAACATCTCAGGGTCACCTGCTGTCCTCTTGCTTTAGTCAGGTGTCTCGGTGTTTGGGTGACTCCAGAATCCACTGGGCCTGTGAGGGAGGAGACGGGGGCTGGAGAAAGAAGGCGGGAGACAGCCCGATGGTGCCTTAGATTCAGGCACTGTCAGGCTGAGAACAGAGATGCCTTGCCTGTACCCAGGACGTACCTGCTCCCAGGAGGCAAAGAACCACACAGCAGACGAGGCAGGAGCCCATGGCAGGGAGGGGCAGAACTGGGCAGGTGTCTCCCGGCTCAGAGTTCTGGCTCTCCGAGAGCTGGCGCTCTGGGCAGCCCTTCTTTGATTGGAGGTTAGGCAGTGACGTCACTGTACTCATGTCACTGACTCTGCTGGTTCCTGTGAGCCTGGCCTCCCTTTCCAGGTCTCCGGCTCAGCTGATCCAGGAACCCTGCTTGGTCCTGCAAAATCCTTTATGTGACATATGGGGCTGGACTGGGCTGGTCTAGGCGAGGCTGGGTTTTGGCCACATGCCCTTCCCACGGCTCCTTTGCTTTTTCTTTATGGCAGGTGTTCCTCTACTATCCCCGGCCCCTCCCAGGGGCACATCCTTCACTTTCCCTGGCAACCTCAGAGACTCCCTAATCACCGCCTAGTTGAAGTTCATGGCTCCCAGCTGGGACAGAACGCCTTCAGATTAGTGTCTATGCTGTTAAGCCTTCCAGAGGATAAAGGCTCCAAACAAAGCTGTTTTTTGACCCTCCTGGTCCCAGGCTGCTAGCTCTGTCTGCTGACTCCGCCCCAGACACTTTTGGAGTCTGGCGGTTCCACAGTGCCCCCATGTGGTCTGTGGGTGCTAACCAAGATTTGGCTTTGCCTTGGCATATGTAAGTAATAGGATGTGATTAAATTAGAAACTGACTATGTATTTGCCTTTTGCACTGGTTTTATTTTGCTTTGTTTTCCTAGAAACACACACACACACACAAACCCAGCCCTCGATGATTTGGGATTTTGTATCTTAAGAGAAAAAAATAGTGATCATGGAGGAAATATTTTGACTTTGAGAACATTTCAATGAAGGAAGTGGTACAAATCCTGCCAGGGTTAGGCGGAGTTGTTGAAAAAGGACAGTGGTGGAGAACACAGAGACAGGCTGTCTTCTCCTGCAGGTGGACTCCCAAGGGTTTGGGGGATGATTAATAACGAACTGAAGTTGTTTTTCCTTTGACAACCCCAGACAGCTTGCTCAAGGCAGCCCATTCAGACAGGCTTCTTTGTGAGGTTCCTGTCAATCAGCTTATCCCAGAACAAAGGAAACAATGCTCACTGTCCCCATACCACCGGAGAATTTCTTCCTTTCTCTTCTAGTCTCTCTCTTTTGGAAATCCTCTTTTTGCTGTAGTTCATCGATAATAATAGACCGCCCACTCTCCCATCTGTGAGCAAACATGTGTGTAGGTAAATGATTACATTTCTTCGGTTTTTCTCTGATGCCCAAGGAGGAGACAAAATATTCTAACCCTCTGCACTTAGTATGCTAAGAAGGAAAGTCCAGTCTGGATTAACGGAGGATAACAAAATAAACAGAGAGATCTGGGAAAATAGAATCTGAGAAGGACTCAATTCCAGAAACTTATCTCGTATTTGCTCCTTCTGACTTAATTTACCTTCCATCCAGCTTTCTTTACATATTTACATTTGTTATTAAATTGCAAATAGTACATTGTATAGACGGAATACAGACATTCTACTGAAATCTGTTTCTTGACTTTCAAAGTCCAAAGGCAAACAAGCCCATCAAACACCACGGAGAAGAGATCCCCGATCCAGCTGCACGTGATGGGCAAAGCATTAAAGTCGTCAACGACTAGTTGATGTGCCCATGAGCTAAAAGCGACCAGTGCCTCTTCTAAGATGCCACCAGTGGAGGAAAATTTCACCCTGAGTGAATCTCCATGGATATAAACCAGGTAAAACCATCTCAAGCCCAGACGGAAATGTTCTATAACTGAATACTTTGTATGAATCTTGTCCACACGTAACTCATTAACGCCTCTCACAATAGCAGTTGATGTGTCTTACGGAGTTTCTGACGATAGATAAGAAGTTTCTACACAAAATCATAGAAATACAAGCAAGCGCTCTAAATCACGCTAAGGAAAGTATATTCCTCTGCTTTAAGGAACCCCTGGCACTTTTTAGATTCAATCTACCAGAAAGACCAGCCTTGCCGGCGGGCTTGGCTTCCCATCTGTTCCCAAGGAGCCCCAAGGTGGTTGGTTGACTGTGACTCACCTTGCGCCTTAGGCTGAACCCAGCAGGAGTTGACTTTTGTGTGTGTCACCAGCTGCCAGGACGCCTCAGGGACTTGCATTTCTTCCCAGAGGCCTGGAAAATTGGCCCTGTCTGCTGCTTCCAGGGGTCAGGATTTGGGGGAGAAAGTGGGGCACTGGCCACAAAACGCCATCCCCAGTTCCCTGTTCTCTCTGTGCGTAGCCACCGGTGCGGGGCTCTGCTGGTGGGCTCAGTCCCTTGCGGTTCCTCAGGGAGAAGGTACGGCGCCCCTCGGCTCAGGGCTGTCTGTCAGGGAGACAGGTTCGCCAGCAAAACTTCAGGGGCCACCACAGCTACCACTCTCAGCAGACATTTCTCTCATTCCCCACAGCTGTCTTCCCGAGCCTGACGCCTCTTCCTGCTCGGGACGCTGTGACGAGTCCCCGGGATTGGCCGCAGGCGGGATAAACGTAGGTCCCACTTTGTTGTCCAAGTGCAATTATCTTAACAGCACCATTTTCACTCCCCACAGTGGATGATAGATCATGTGGTCACTCTAAAGAAGATGAGAACATACGTTTCCCCCTAATTTTGCATGTTCTCTCTATGGTGTTTTTGTCTTAGTAGCTCCAGCAAACCTTTTCTAGAGGTACTGGCGATTCCATAACATGAAGGAGGGTTACCTGACTCAGGTAGGTTGTCTTATCATATATGGCCCTGTGACTGACTCTTCCTCTGAGCTGCACGGGATCCCTGTGGTGCACTAACCCTACTTTGCATATGTTGGGGTGGGGTATCTTCTGAAGAAAGAAAGAAGGAAAGTAAGAAAGAGAGAGACAGAGAAGGAAGGAAGGAGAGAGAGAGAGAAAGAAAGAAAGAGAAAGAGAAGAAAGAAAGAAAGAAAGAAAGAAAGAAAGAAAGAAAGAAAGAAAGAAAGAAAGAAAAGGGGAGAGAGGGAGGGAGGAAAGGTGTGTAACTTATAATGATACACTCATCTAACTAGAACACCAATACCAACTTATTTTTCTATTTGAATACTTGAAATCCATCTGCCTTTTAGCAGGAAACCCCGTATCTCCCTACATCAGCCCTCCAGCCAACCCTCAGGTCTTAGCCTCTGGAAGTCAACCCTGTTTTCACACATCAAGCTGACAGTGAGCAGTTCGTGCTGGTTGATGCTGCGGGATCCTTTGGGCATCCGCTCTTGCTCATTCTGTCCTGCTGTGGTGACCTTCTCGGTGGCCTGGCCCAAGAGCATGAGATTGTTAGGCAGTTAGATAGACATGAGCACTGGGCAGGGAGAGAGGAAGGGGAAAGGAGCAACCTAGCAAGTAACAGTATGCCTGCACTCAGGGTAGGGGACTCCAAAAACTGTAAATGAGGGCCAGCAAAGAAGCCAGCTAGGATCCAACTCTGCATCCACGCAGTAGAGAGAAGGACCCGGCTTAACCAGACCCAATGCTCATTATAACGTAATTCACATTGCGGTTTGAGCCCCTCCACGTGGGTTTCTCTGTGCGCTTCACGGGTAAGAACCTGCCCAAAACGGGATGGCGTGCCTGAGCACAAGGAACCTGAGCTGTCAGTCAGCCCGAGCGCTCAAACCTGAGCCATGAATCAATCAATCACGAACCGCCCTTAAGCCAGGATATAAAAGCAGGGAAAACCAAGGCGCGGCCCCACTTCTCTCTTGGACTGGCCCGCGCCCAGTCCTCGGGGGTGCACTATATTTTACTGCCTTTTTACTTTACTAATAAAATCTTGTTTATATCACACTTTGTCTCTCGTTAAAAATTCTTGTTTTTCGGGTGACTAAGAACCGAAGTAATTCTTATTTCCCTCCTCCCGGTAACAAGATCACATTCAAGTGGGCAACAATTGTTCCCCGAAGAAGCTCCCTGTCCTGGCTGGCAGGGTCCCCAGGGGCTTCTGCCTCTGCTGTCCACTGTCCTAGAACATTCCTCTCCCACCCATCCTTGGGCTCTGGTATTCAGCTCCTTCCCCTTCTGGAAAGTTCCCAGTTAAGTCTCCTGGGTATCTTCATGTAAGTTCCTCCCCTCCCCTCCTCTCCTCTCTTCTCAGGTAAGCCAGTCTCCACTCAAAGATGAGGCATGTTTTACTAAATAGGAAATAACAAAAACAGAGACCCAAAGAGAATACAGAGGTTTCTCTGTAGGTTCCCTGGGTCTCTCATTGGACACATTGTTCCATCACTGGGACCACAGTCACATTCTGTGGTGCCTGAGGACCTTTCCCGAATACCACAGCCCCAGATAGCCTGTGCACTATTTCCTCCTCTGCAAATTAAAGTTCATTTTGACCTCTGCTACTGGGAAGCAGCTGCAGCCCAGCCCAGCCCCTCGCCCCTGCACCAGCACCCACCCTCCCGTGGGCAGGGCCGGGCTGCTGAGAGCCTGGGGAGTGCAGAGAAGCTGCAGAGTTTGTGGAAGGGCAGGAAGTGTCTCTGCAGGGCTGTGGTTACACTGCTGGCACAGAGGATCATGGCTGAGTCACCCGGCTGCACAGGCTGGATCTTCAGAGTGAGGTGCAAGCCATTAGGCATCTCAGCTGAGAAGCGATCCTTCAAAAAGTCTGCCTTCTCTGAAGGCGCTTTGTTATAGAAGGAAATCAGAAACTCCATCCCCTTTCCTGGGGTCTGTCGATACCAAGAGAGGTACAAATGACCAGGAATGGGGTCACACCTCAGAGTCACGTTCTGTCCCAGCGCTGTGACATAGTGGTGAGGGCTCTGGCTGACTCCAAGTTCTGTGTGTCCTGTGGGAGGGCACAGAGGCCAGAAGGAGAATGAGGTAAAAGTTTGGAACTGGCCCTAAGTAAAGGGGATGGGACGGGAATGTCCCGCACACTCCTGGGACTCACCTACTCCCAGGAGACCAAAGATCACCCAGCAGAAGAGCCTGCTGTGCATGGCAGGGTCCGGGCCAGGCTGAGGCCTCTCCCAGTGGGGCATCTGGTCCTTAGTAGCCGAAGGAAGGAGACCCTGTGATGTCACAGTCTTGGCAGCACCTACAGACTCAGGAGCACCCCCACAAGAGGGAGCAGGGAGCCCTACCTCCCCTTAGATGCTCCAAGGCAGCCCTGCCCCCCAACTCCACCCCCTCTGGTCTCCTAGGCCTTGGTTGGTGGTTTTCCCTGTGATGTCACTGTCCCTGACAGTTTCCCAGCCCCAGGGGATGTTTCTTCCTCCCCCTTTTTACGCCTGGTAGAAGGTGGATTTGAACCCACTGGGCTGGGATATTCCTCTGATGGCTGCTCTTCTGCTAATAGCTGCCCTCCTCACTATACAGATTCTCCCTCTCTCCCCTTCCTTTCCAAGGCCCCCTCTCAGTGACAGACTATACCCCCTTCAAGAGATCTCCTTCCTCCCCTGCTCAGCCAGGCAGGACATCACTCAAAACTTCATTTCCCCCAGTGTCTAAGCTTGCTGGAGTCCCTTTGCAAGAGGGAGTGGGGGTGGGGGTGGGAGGAAGACTGGAATGTTGTGGTCCCCTTCTGGACCAGTGCCCATCATTACAAAGGCAGGACCGTGATGTCGGCCAGGAGCCAGACACTGGGAAGGATGCGGAGATAAGGGATAAGCCATCCTCTGCCCCGTTTTGAAGGTACAGGGCTTGCCTGGGCTTAAAGCAAACAGGTTGCTTATGAAAACAACACAAGACATCCGGTGCAAGACAAAGGGAAATCAGTTTAAAAATGATTTTAGTTTAGCATCTTTGGGAAGTCTACAACTGATGCTCCCAACTGACATACGGAAGGAGCCCCAGTGCCCTGCTTCGCTCCTCGCCCGCTACTCACTCCCAGCCCCTCCCCCTACCACAGCCGCGGAGGTTCCAGTGGAGCCACAGCGCCTCCTTGTGGCCAAAGTGCACATTACCCAGATCACAGGTCTTACCCATGAACCAGCAGCCCAGACCTGGGTCACTCATTCCACTGGCTAGGAGCGGCTGTGATGAGTATGAAGCTCCAGGGAATTGTAAAGACGAAACAAGCACCTGAAACAATAAAAACAGCTGGCAACAATATTATCCATCTGCTTACCTAGAACATTCAGTTCTTACTCAATAGAGATTGGCAATGTCTGGATTCTTAGGAATGCACAGAACATAGTCCTGCAGATACTACCTTGAAATCCCGTGGAGTTTAGAGGCCAGCTTGATTGGTCCAACAGCTACTCACTGAGCAACAGCTGGGAGCACGCATAAAGCTTCAGCATGAGCGCCCACAGAATCCTATTGTGGTGGGGTGGTTAAGGGCAGTCACAGACAGCTGCTAGGGAATCCAATGTGTCTTATATGAAGTTTAAGACATGATTCAATATTTCAGTATTTAAATCCCCTCATGAATATGATAGCATATTTCTTCAACGATTACAACATGGGAACTGAAATGAAACGATCCCCAAAGCCCTGTGCATTTCTAGAGTGTTAGAAATCGAACTGAGCCCATCAGTTCTGCAGATAGCTCTCCCATCCGGGACGAATGAGGATGACCTGCCATGAGTCATTCCTATGTCGCCCTATAAACTGCGTGTGCTTTTTGTCCACTTAGTTATTGGAACATCATCTATTTTCTTAAAATATACTGTTATGCCAGTATTGAGTTAGTTTTCATTCTAGAAAATTTGAAGACATGAATAAACACGGAAATGAAATGACCTATAATTACTGAACAATTTTTACCTTTTATTTATTGTTATATTAGATATTTACTACCAAGTTGGAATAAAAAGAATCTTTATAAATCTATGTTGGGGGTAGGGAGGGTAGTTACCCATGCGTTAAGTCAAAAGTCAGTAATTGAAACGTTTTATAACCCAGGGATGTGCTGGGTCAGGAAGAAAATGTTAGCATTTTTCTAATGAAAGAAATTTTATCAGATTTTCTATGTGGCCCATAAAGCAAAAAAATGTAAGGGTATATGGGTTAGAATTTAAGCAAAGGGGGATGGCTATTCTCCTCCTGAATAGGTGGCAGATACGACGGACCTTTAATCTGCTACAAAGATATTCCATCCTTAGATAAGAACCTAAAATTAACTCTATTTAAAAGGCCAGCATTGAGAATATTAATATTATTATGATCCCTGTTCCCTGGAGCAAGAAGACACTGGTCCATCCACAAAAAAAACAGCAAAAATATGAAAACATAAAATTGCATTGCATTATTGGCTCCCAATAAAAATTCCAAGGATTACAAAAAATAATGAAATTTAAAATAAAACCTTGAACCATGAGAATGAAAGACTTGGTTGCCCTGAGAACATTAGCCAACATAAGCATTTCCTGAAGAAGTGGATGGGGTGAAAGTTGAGTTTCAGTTATCTGAATTAGGGATGTGACTGAAGAAAGAAAATGACTTAAGGACAGTCTGCATTGCAAGAAGGAATAGTGAAGAAGTGGAATGGTAAACAGGTCAGCAAACTCAAACATTGTCCATCCAAAACAGTAACAGTATATGCTACTTGATGATAAATAGAAAAGACAAAACTGATTCCAAGACAGCTGGGATTTGAGTTAGAGGAGCCCCAAGAGTACATGTAGGGTAATTCCCTTTTTATTTTCTTGGTCAGTTTCTAAGTTGTGTCTGCACAGAGTGGGGCTCCAGAAGGTTCTGGAAGGCTATAGAACTGAGCAGAGACTTCAGAAGACACTCAGCTGGAAGATGCTGGCATTCAGTTCCACCTAGAGTGAGAGACATCGATGAATGTGCTGTGATTCCCACAGAGACCCCGGAAGGGCCAAACACTAGGAATGATGACCACAAGCTAGGGCTTCCCACGAGGATGGGCAAAACCGAAATAGATCCCAGCAAATCCTCCATTCAGACCTGCCAGAATAAAGCCTAACGCTCTTTAGAAGAATATACCATACTCCAGAGCCCCTCCTCCGTATCATCCACAATGTTTCTCTTAACCCCCTTCACAATCACTCATGTAGAATATTTTAAGGCATCTTCTCATTGTACATTCCACCTGGAATCCATCTCCCTTCTGATCCACACTGCTACCAGTGTTCTTGTACCAAAATATGAATTTGATCATGTTATCTCACTTAAGGCAGGACCACTGGCTAGCTACTGCTTAGAGATTTGCGGCCAAAGTCCTTCCCATGCCTCAAAATATCCTCCATCATCTGGCTCCTGCCTGCTCTCCAGGAAGCTTCAAAGACGACACTCAACAAGAATTGAGGAGAATGGCACATCATCCTTATTGACGGGAGAAAGTCTGCAGCCTACAAGCCGACCTCGGTGGGTGCCTCTGCCTCACTCTTTCTTCCCAGTTTACGTGTCGCCATGGACTTTCATGCTTCTCCAAATATTTTTCCATTAAATGGTGAATTCCTTGATAATCTGAATTTCCTCTCAGTCTTGGAAACTTGTGTCTTCACCACACCTTCCTTTGGGCTATTGCTTATCAAACACTAAGCAAATAATGTGTTTTCAATCATAATGTTCTGTACAATATGTACCCATATGCACAACAGGGAAAGGCAGGGAATGGCTTCTTCCCTCAGTTAAGATCTTCAGGGCATGGGACAGGGTCCTTTCTTGTCTGCGGAGTCCTGAATATTTTGGTGAATTTAATGGCACCCCTTGCTCTAGCTGACAAGGAGAATTTGGTAAGACTTCTGCATGTATAAACGGGTGTGCTGGCAGGCTGTACTGCAGGCTGAAACTCACAGGGGTGAACGGAGCCTTGGGTTGGGTGAACACGTTGTCCCACCGCTTCCTGACTAGGTCAGGGGGTTTGTGCACAGGGAGGCAGTGACTCTGCAGGGCTGTGTCCTAGCTGCTGGCACAGAAATACATGGCAGAGTCATCTGGCTCCAGGGAGTCGACGTGAAGGTTTAAATGAGCTTTGTCAGTAGATTCTGGTGAGAAACGTCTTGGAACTGTTTCATTGAGAATGAGTTCCTTATTACTGTAGATAAACATAATCTTCAGCAATTGCTCGGAGCCCTGCTTATACCAGTACATACTGTCATAGCCCAGCTTCTGTTCACATTTTAGGGACATTTTATTTCCCATCTGTGAGATGAGATATTTGGGCATCTGGAAAACTCCGGTATCCAAGGCGCCTGAGAAGGAAGGAAGCAGAATTCAGACAAGTGCCAGGAGGCAGCCTATTGCTGGAGTTGTGATGAACAGACTCAGGGACTGAAAGAGGGATCCAGCCACCTGGACTCCGGACTCACCTGCTCCCAGGAAGTAGAGGACCACGCAGCAGAGGAGCCTGGAGCCCATGGTGGAGTCAGGGTCGACCAACCGGGATTCTGGTCCTCAGTGGTGAGAAGACCAGGCTGCAGTGCTCACGCCCGTGACAGGTGCTGCCTGTGATGTCACAGCCCAGCACGATTGCCTCATCCTCAGGTCTCCTGTGACCCAGTCTCCTCCTCCTTCATGTCCTGTACTTGCTCCTTTCAAAGAAAGTTTAATTCCTACCCCTTTCAAAGGAGTTTGGGTTTTCTAGGCACAGTTTGAGGGTAGTTGGCATGTTGCCTCAAGGATGTTTCTCTGATTGCCATTCTGTTCCAGCAGCTGCCCCAGGATCTGGCCGCCTCCCTCATCCTCCCCATTCGAGGTCCCCCTCTCAGAGTCCGGCTGGTTTCCCTTCTCTGGACCTTCTACTGCTTCTCCTTCACAAGAATATGAGAAGATCCCACTCAAATCCTGGCTCCCTTAAGTGTCTGATTACACTCAGCGCCCCCTGGTTATTGCAGGTGCGGTCAAGAGACTGACTCCGAGGTCTCCCTGAGAACCAGCCGTGGACCATGTAAACTGCAGGCACTGCTGTCAGTCAGGAGCAAACTCTGTTGATGGGTCCTGGACGGGGAATAAACTGCAGCCCGGCTCTCCGTGGTGTTCTCTGTCCCAAAGGCAGAGCCATGCAGGGACAGAACCAGAGTAAGGAGTCACTATGTGACAGGAGCAATGAGGTTACAGAGGAGAGCAACAGCACGAGGTTAGGGAAATCTACGGGGAGTGATTTTATTGCCCTTGCACTGTCTGCAGGTCACCCTTCCTCGCGGTACAAAGTTCACCGCTGGGTATGCCCAGCCTAGCCTTTCTCACCCTCGGCGCTATTGACATACAGCTCAGACAAGTCTTGGTTGTGCGGCTGTAGGATGTTTATCAGCATCCCTGGTCTCATCCACGACCTGCCAGCAGGACTCCCCACCCCGCTGTGACAACCAGAAATGGCTGCAGACTGTCCAGTCACGCGGGTTAAGAACCGCTGTCCCCTTCATTCTTTCCCACAGTCCTTCCGCGCCTCTACCAGCCTCCGGGGTTCCGCAGGGCTGCAGCTCCTCCTAGTGGTCAGCACGGTGCAGTTCTCGGATCTCAGGGCCCTCCTGCGCCCCGCCCAGCCCCTGGTAAACCCGGGAGAGGGCAGGGCGCCAAGTGCCGCGGAGGCATCTGTCACACACACACACACCACACACACGTGCACAATGTATGGCAAGACTAACACTATCAACTGCTGGCGACACCCCTTCAGAGACACATCCAGTGGTTTATTTGTTTTTCGTTAAACACAGAACAAGCGCTAGGGAGATAAAACAGAAAGGACCACGGTCTGGGCACTTTCAGCATGATTTATGTGTCGGCAGTCATTGAACGGCTGCTTAGTGCAAAGCACGAGTAAGACAATATTCTCATTCTCATGATGCTTATATTCTGATAGGAGCAACAAGAAATTTACAGATTACCCTAGACCAGAAATACAAAATTTATGTTATATGGAGGTTGAGAATAGAATCAGTATTGATACAGTTAAATACCGTCCTTCACATGACTTCCCGATTTCTCATCTATAACACAGTGGGCTGAAATAAATGATATCTAAGTCTCTGTCCAGTTTTTAAATTGTATGATTCTAACCAGGGCACCCCTCGATATTTATTGGCTAGCAGGTCTTACGCAGCCAGCGTCTCAAGTACCCACCTCACTGTACCACACAGCTTGCTTGTGAGGCTTATCAGAGAAAAGAGGGGAGGGAAGGAGAAAGGGAGGAAGAACAGAAGAAGGGAATAAACATGGAACTGACAAGAGACTACATATATTAGTGATTCTGACCATATAAAGAAGTAACCATCGTTAAAGACTGGATTTCAAATGAACTATCTATATCAGTGCTTTATGCAAATACTCTTGAAAAATCAGCTGCACACCATCCGCAGAGAACCCAGAATGAAACTCAGACACTTGCATCACACGAGGTATGGCAGTTCTGCTTATTGTCTTGTTTCTCACAGGAGTTTGAAAGCATTATTTTTTCATTGTCTACCAAGAGTTGCCCACAGAAAAGAGAAGAACAAAGAAATGTATTGTTTGCTTTTCTTTTCTGACGGGTCCAGCTGAATCAGAGAAGGGGACGCCTCTGCAGAAAGAACAGAGGGCTGAGGCTGGGTGGCCTGAGTAGCATCAGGGTTTAATTACAATGGGAAGGTAAATGAGGGAAGAAAAATGCAATAATAGCATGAAGATAACCCTGTCCACAAAAAGGTGAAGCATCATAGGGCCAGTGGGAATGAGGCAGAAGGCTAGAGAAAACTAGAGCAAGAAAGAAACAGGCTGAATGATATCAGGATGTGTATTTTGGACACTGGTTGTATTTTTGGCTATCTAATGTTTAAATTCCTCTTATGTTTGGACCATTCCCCAGAGATTGGATGTTAGTGGGAAGAGGCATGTATTGGCATGTTTTAAAAGTAAAAGCTTCCTCCCATTCTGGAAACAAAACCTCCACCACTGCCTCTGCTTTTTGTGACTTTTGTAAGAACAGAACTCTTCCTGACAGAGCTGCCTCTTCCCACCAGCTCCCTAAGAACTTGGGGGGCGGGAAACTGGGCTGTGAGCTTTGGCAGAATGGGATGGAAAGAAATTCTCTTGATCACCGTTCTGTCAAATTTAGTTCCCCGGGCACAGTGTCCTATGAAGATTTCAGTGTCATCAGATTCTCTCTTTCTTTGTTGGTGCTCAAAATTGGTTTCTCGTTTCTGCGATGGGGAACAGGGTCATGGTCTCCCTTCCATTCTGCTCAGCTGGCTGCTGGTGGCTCTGACCTTGAAAAGAAATCTCCTTTCTTATTGACAAAAATACGAAAGTCAGCATACACATCGACTCTTGCAATCATACGTCTGCAGGTGGACCAATGGCTGTTGGTTTTCCAAATGAAAATCCAGATCGAGACCAGATGCAACAGCCTGTGTAGGTCATTTGCCCCTCCCCTTATAAATCATCAGTTTGTGCTGTTTGCCTGTTTAACCTTTGAAATCTCACCTAACTTAAAATATTTACATTTACGATTTCTATTATTATATGGATCATAAATGTTTAATCTTTAAGTCATTTTAAGTCAGTGGCAGGAATGAAATGCAGCACTGTGATGTGCATGCATTCCTTATGAACTGCCAGCAATGATTATATGTCGCCTCATTTTTGTTTTTAGAAAGAAGCTGTAGATGTTCTGTGGGGGTGAGGGTGGGAAAGACCCAGGGGACCCTGAATTCTCAAGCCTTAAAGTTGGTCATTCAGCATATTTAGCATTGAGCTTAGAAGTGTGTGTTCCAGCATTTGCTAATGGTTTTAACTTTCAACAGATTTTTAAAGTGGCTCCTAATACAGAAAGTTAAATTTAGATCTAAGCGTGGACAAATGAGTTGGGTTTTTTTTTCAGTAGCTTCCTCTGTTCTTTCCCGAGATGCACTGCAGAATTAACCTTCACAGAAGGGCTAACAGGTTTTCTGTTACTGTTTGGCCAACCAGACCTTCACTTTAGGTGGTATGGGAGAATATATACAGAAGAATAGATAGATATTCTGAAGCTTCCCTTCTGCTGCCTATAACTAGAGTTTATATAAAATGTAATTTTATGGCATTCTTGGATTTCCAAGAAGAAAGGGGAATTCCGAATGTTAAAAAAAAAAAAAAAGAAACAGGCACCTTGAGTGAAAACAAAGTGAAAGGTCATGTTTCAGATCTCTATTCTGGATGGCTTTTCTATTTTTAGATGTTTTGGTATCAAATGTTTTCATGTCTGGACTTTTCCAGGTTCCACGTGTCATTTTCGACAGATGTGGAAGTTTGGGACGGAGTCCAGAAGGAAGTATGTTGCTGGTACTTTTGTAGAACCGTTTTATCAAACCCAGAAGAGAGGTTTCCTATCGTTACTCCAAACTCTTCTGCTCCAGGACCACACAGCAGAGTTTCTACTTGAACTCTGTGATGCCCTGGAGTGAGGGGATGGGGCTGCAGGTCTCCCGTGGCCTGGTAAGTAAGTCCCTAGGTCGTTATTGTCTCTGCAAGATCCCCAGGAAACCTCTGGCCTGTCAGGCTCTCTGCCTGAGTCCCAGGAGCTCACATCACAGCAGGACTCAGCTGGGCTGGGCTGACCTGAGGCAGGAGCCCAGCCCCAGAGCCACAGTCCTGTTCCTCTCCCAGTGGGACCTGCGCCTGCACCTGCCTGAGGGCTCCCGCCCTCCCCACCTCAACCCCCTGTCCTTCCTTCTCCACGAAGGCTCATGGCAACAAACCTGCTGGGACAGAAACACCTACCGATCAACACAAACTGAACAGTCTGTGTTTAACTCCTCACCTTTCAGCACTAACCCACAGCCTCTGCAAACCGCATTCCCCTGTGTTGTGAATAAACCCAAACTCTCCCATCTAGGGAATTCTCTCAACCTTCCCTCTTCTCCCTAAATCTCAGGAGAGTCACAGTTCCTCCCTGTGGGCAAGGGGAAAACTCAGTTCTCCTGTCTTGGACCAAGACAAGAAGGCAGTAAGAGGTCTTAGAGATGGGGGTGGTGGGGTACAGTCAGAGGGTTGGGTTGAGCCCCTGACCCTCCCATCTCAGACTGACTTCTCAATCTAGAGGAGGCTGTTAGAAAAATTGGAGCTCCAGTGATTTCTTAGCATTCTGCTTATACCAATACACAGAATTACATCCCAGGTATTGTTCATACTTTAAGGTTCCTTTACTCCCCACATCACTGTCACCAGGTAATTCCAGTGTCCATAGGGCCTGTGGAAGCCAGAAACCACATTTAGAGAGTTTCATGAGGCCATTCTATGAAAAAAGCTAGAAGTCCAAGGACAGAGCTGTCCATCTGTTCCCAGGACTCAGCTGCTTCCAGGAAGAGACAAAGAACCACACAGCGGAGGAGGCTGGAGCTCCTGTCAGCGTTGGACAGGATGGGCCTGGGTGTCTCCCTGCCCACGTTCCTGTCCTCGGAGTGCGTTTCCCTGGTCCTGGGAGGGGGTTTGCTTGGGAAGTGACTGCCCCTGTTAATTTCTTCAGCTCTCGTTCCCACTTCCCCTTTCATGTCCTGCACCAGGACGTCGGCGGGTAGGATGGGGCTGGTTTGGCAGCACTGGGTGTACAGAGGAAGCGTCAGAAGAACAGACCCACCCCCAGCCCCCCAGCTGCTCAAGGGGGTTTCCTCAGCTGCTGTTTTTTCCTAGTAGCACCCTACCCCCCCCCCCCAGCAAGGAACTGGGTCTTTCCTTCTTTCTACTCTAAAGCTCCTCCTCCTCCCCTCATAGGCACGTTCCTTCCCTCTGGGCAGGCATCCTCCCCTGCTGACTCTCATGGATGCAGGACAATCTCCCTCAAGCCGCATCCTGATTTAACTCAGAGAAGCTGCCTTGCAGGGTCAGCAGAGCCCTTCCCAGCTCTACGTCATCTTAAGACCCAGGAATTTAAGGCTCAGTAGGAAGGAAGCACCCTTCAGTGGGTGCTGAGTGCTGAGGGAGATAGG